TGACCCAAGCCTGGTTGCGTGAGAATGCTTCAGAACTGGGAGTTGGACATTGTGAACTTGACACCTCATTTTTTACTCCTGGCTCCAACCTATGTTGGGTTTGATGATGATGACACTACCCGTTCAATCATGTTGGACATCGTGGACTTGACAATGTTTCTACTCATTCAGTATGAATCATGGAATCCATTATTCCCCTATTAGTTGTTTAACCCTTTTATCTGTCATTCTTGTTTAACACACTTTTCTTCTTTTTCAGCCAAATTTTAGGGACTATGTTGTGTATTTGGCAAAGTGTAACCAGTGTGTTTCAAAAGTGGTGCATCTCATGAAAACATATACTGTGAATACACTACAGAACCTCACAAATCAGTTAATTAAAAGGGTATGTTACTAATTCGTTCATACTAAATAGTGTTAAATGTGTGTTGAATGAAAATCATCTGCAAAATGTCCTCAATAATGTCTTATTTGCGATGCAAGGATGGGCAACCTTTTTTGGCCACGGGGTGCATTTTCTGTTGGATGACTTATAAGTATCAGTCTTTGGTGTCCTCTGTTCACCCAGACTCCCTTCACGTATTGGTAGGGTTCACATTCAGTGGCAAAGAGATGGAAAAATGGATTCAGAAAATCCAAAAAAAGGACAAATGCTTTCTTGCAGAACTTCGTATCCCCAGGGCAATCTTGCTCCTGCAGCCAGTTTTGCCCTCAGCTGTTCACTGCACCCTGGTTCTTGCAGCGCTAGGGGTTTGTGCTTCCTAGGACAGGTGTTCATTCTGACAGCTCTTCTTCATCAGATATCCTGTACTGGGAGAAGCGTTTGCATCTGGTTTCTACTCAGCATGGGCTTGGGATTCTCCAGTCTCCTTCAGGGCCTGCTCCTGGTCCTGAATAGGCATCACCAGCTCTCCTCATTAGAGACTTTTCAGTGACAGTGGCACTGTGATGTCACAAATGGACAGCAGCAGTCATACTGTGATGTCACTGGAGGGCAGAGGGCTGAAGTGTTTACATTGTTTTTCATTTCAAGTTTGGGCTTGAAAGGAGGAAATGGGTGCCTTAACCCCTCACATATTTGGAAGAAGCTTTGGGTCCTCAGATGGGCTGCTGGGGAACTGCACGTGGCCTCTGGGCTGCAGGGGAGGTGACAGATTTACTGATAGTCTTGCTTAACACGGACACATTGCTGATGTATGGGATATTGCAACACATGAACAGCAATATATATATTAACCATTGTTCTTTGACAGTCTCATCCAAAGGCAGTAGTGTTGTAAAGTACCCATGGGAAAAATGTTAGGTTTTAGGAGCATAAGCTGGAGCTAGAGAAGGCAGCCAAGAAAGTAGAAGGAAGCCACTTCTAGCAGCAGCAGCAGATTTAGAAAATGGGGAAAGGTGAAACAAGGGTTGAGTGGCACGTCCTTTAAAAGGAGCCTGGAGCAAAAGCAATTGGGCTTAGAGCAGCTCCTGGGAATCAGAGTGGGCAGACCTAAGATCACTCACAGAGCTGAGATCTTAGGGGAGGGGAGGGGGGTCATGAACTGCCTGGGATCTTCAAGGAGTTTACATAGGAGTAATGGTTGCTCCTTCCTGATCCCAAAAAGTTGATGGCCAAGACATATTGAGTTACTTAAAAAGGTCTGCTCTAAACTATTTGAAATTGCCCTACAGAGTTATTCAAGGAGGATTCAAGATGAGAAAAATATATAAGCTTTGAGATTCTCTGTGTCCTCCTTGCAGTAGCTATATGGGTTCATGTAAATGCTTTTTAATGTTTTCTTATGTTTCCTTTGTTAAAAGTAGACACTTTTACTATGAGTCAAAGTAAGGGGATGGCAGGGGGGATCAGATTTAGTATGGGGAGTGCATACTGTATAACTTACTGGAATTCTTCTTTATAAAGTGTATTTCTGTCCTTCAGCATTTATCCGTTGGGAGCAAATGGAAAGCTCCCTCAGACACATTCCCTTTCAACTGTCTCCCCTATTTTTCCCTCCCTTCTAGTCATTAAGCATTGTAGTGTTTATGTAAAAGTTTTTCCTGTTATGTAATAATACAACATGTAGGTAACTTTTTCTTTTTCTTTTAGGATCCTTTTGTTGCTCCAAATTCAGACAATGCCTTTACTTTATTTTATGTAAAGTTCAGAGCTGCTGCACCCAAAGTCAGGGTAAGTGGAATGGGTGTGTGTATGTGATTATCAGAAGGAATATAACATTATTGTGAAGGGTTATTTACTTTGTAGGGATCTTACACAGTATACCTAATTAACCACACATGAACAGTTATAATGTCTCTTTAAAAGGAACCAATCACTGGATGGATTCCTGCCCATCAGAAGACGGACATTTTTATTTTAAGAGAAAGTAGAAAGGCTATATAATGTTAAAGAATATTGACCCCACGATTGAAACCTGTAGCCTGTCACTCTACACCTTTCCTTGATGAGGAATCTTTGATGACCATACTGAGTACATTTTCAAGCCCAAGCCTAATGGTCATGTCAACCAGGCCATACTTACCTAGCTTGTTAAAAACAGTCAAAATAACAGAGGTAATACCAGGAGGCAATCCAGAAATTTACAACTACAGGTGGCAAAAAGTCTGACTGTGGGCTGAGAAATATAGATCAAGAGGTTTGGGCCCAAAAAGATTCAAAAGTCTTTCTGGCCGTCATTCTGGACGGCCAGAATGGAATTGCAGAATAGCAGCTCTCCTTGTTTGCAGCAAACTGAAGATGTTTGTGCTTCTATCTTCAGAGCCTCATCTAGCCCCAGCTATGAACCATCAGAAACTACTTGGCTAGAAGTCATACATTTGAGTAAGTCCTTACTCCAGAATACTCCTTGTGACTCACCAGGAGACATCTGCAGGCAAACACTTCTTGCCAGTTCTGATTTTTTATCCTTGCCTATGTTCTTCTAAGGCAAAGGTGGTATTGTCTACTCTTCCAAAAAAGGTCATCCAAGTAGGACCCTAGAATGAAACTTTGTGCCACTGCATTTTATATCTCTCTCTAGTTTGATGAGCAATCATTTATGAAGCACTCTTTGAGGATGGTTTTTGAGCCACTTACATAGAAGTAGATGTTATTTCTATCTTTTTCACGCACCTGTAACTAGGTATAGTACAAACAATAAAATATAACATAAAAAAATAGTACAACTCACTCTAGATATATCATATTCTAAAGTATAGAGACTTGGCAATCCAAATGTCCAATAGCATGTAAAATAATAATCAGAAGTTATATCTGAGTAACAGTACATTTCTACATAAAATTAATACCTTGAACTTCAATGCTAATTCCTTGGCCTGTACAAATCAGGTCCAGTCTGATTAAAATAATTGATCTGAAAAGTCAGATAGATTTGAATGCCTTTTCTAAAATGATGCTGGCTTTTCATATTTATGCATATCAGTTTTTCTGCTTAGTTGTTTCTTCTTAATTATATCTACTTAATTGTTATGCTGTACAGACTACATTTAACAAGCTTGCTAAACAGAATGTTATGGGATATTTTGTCAAATAAAATCCTGAAATCAAGTTATATTATGTCTGCAGCATTACTGCAATCTGTTAATTAAGTTACCCAGTCAAAGAATGAGATAAAGTTAATATGGCAAGTCTTCCTCTTTACAAATTATATTGACTTCTAGTATTTATTTTTAAAGTGGATATAGCTCATGGGTGTCTTGTGAGGGGCAGTCAAAATTTGCAAGATGACAGGCGCAGCGTCATAATCAGAGCCCAACACTTTTGGTCTAACTCTACTTTCACAATTTCTCTTTCATGTACAATGCTGACATTTGCCCAGCTAGAGAAGGAGAAGCCTTTTACTTATAGGGAACAGAAGTCCTTTTCTTACATTTCAGGTTTAAATTTTATGCATATTCATGAAGCATTGTTATTTTAAGGATGATCATAATATGGCCATGATATTACAGGTGACAAGGATTATTAGACAATAGATGTGCTGAGTACACATAGATGTGTAGTACAAAGGGGTGCTGAGTACAATAGATGTGTAGTACATCCCAAATGAAAATGCTGATTTAGAACTAATTACAGTATGTTCTCTTAGGGTAATTAAAGTACCCCTTTTTGACCTGAGTGGGGTTCTGGTCTTCCATCCGGTAGGGCTATATGTACCATGGTTAGAGGAATCACATCCAGTGCATGTTACTGTCTTTGTCATAGGAAAGTAAACATAACTGATAGGAATTATTCTAAACTTGGGAAATCATTCTAGGAAAGGATATGGGTGTAATCTTTATAGTCAAGCAAAACTTATTTGTTTTGGTTATATATGCCTGCATGCCCACTAGAATACACTAAAGGTTGACAAATGCACATAGCACTCACATCAGCATTCTAGAGCTGGGTCTCTGGCCCAGACCAGAGGTTAAGGGCAAGTGCTAAAACGCTTCAGTTGTTTCCTGCATAGCAAATGCTTTGGTGTTTATTAGAATATTCCAGTATAACTCTAGTAAAAAAACTAGCTCTGCCAGTTGGGCCAGCAGATGGTTCACTTTGCAAGATCATAGCTGAAATCCAGTAAATTCTCTCTTTGAATCTTGAATCAAGCTATTGTTGTATTTGCATTGCTTCCCTACCTTTTAGTTTCTGGAATTAGCTACCCTATCTGATCATACAGAGATTTGGATTTTATTGTCTTTGTCCCCTGGGTCATGACATACTTAATTTAACCCTACAGGAATATCTGTGCCTTCATCTTTTAAAACACTGGGAGATTTGAATTAACAGGAGAGAAAAGGCATTTACTGTAGGACAGAAAGGTGGGATTTCTCATATGGGAAGTTCAGGGCTATGTGTTCAGAAAAGAGTGCAGAGGGAAATCAGGGTAATTGAAGGGGATCAAAAGAAAACAGTTGAAACAAGAAAATTTGCAGGAATCATTTAACTTTATTTCCCTCCTTGTTCCCTTAGACGCTTTTTGAACAAATCGAGCAACGATCTGAAAAGATGCCAGAGTACGTAGAAACTTAAGTTATTTATAAGCATTTTCTGTTAAAATTAATGCAAAATACTGTTCTGTGGATTGGAGCCCAATAAGATGGCATGTGATTATCATTCTTTCCTTGAGCGCTGCAGGCCTAGTTGGGGAGACTCACCTCTGGCACCAGTGAGGCTGTCTCTATTTCTTTTTGCACAGAGAGGGCCTCCTTTGGGCCCATCAGTTCAAATCTCTACTTTGTTTACAAGCAATTGAAATAAGATTAGGATAAGTAAACATATGGTGAATTTTTAAATCAGTGGCAAGCATCCAAGAGGCCACCCTGAGAGGTAGTTTGGGAACGAGCCTGTCTTCTGTGCCCTTGGAACCCCTCATGGAGAGCTTAATACCTTAACTAAGCACCCCCAGCTCTTCCAGTCACTCTTCGTTGGACTTAGGTCTCTGGTCTCCCAGTCATTTGTGTCGCCCTTCTCAGAATCTGTTCTGGTTTCTGTGGATCCTTTTTTGAACTGTACATGGTACTAGAGCTACTTTTACGTCCAGGATAATTTCAGCCCATCATGATTCCATCCTTCTATCCTCAAACCCATAGAAAGAGAGTGACACACCTAGGATACAGTCAGAGTTGCTAAATTCTGTCTAGGCAGCACTGTATCACTTTCAAAGAAAGCCTTATCTTTTCTTTTTTTTAAAATACTTTTTATTAATAAGTTTTACAATGCTAAAAGCTAATACAAACTGATACCAGAATAGAAATGAAGAAATACAAAGTGCAAAAAAGAAAAGAAGAAAAGAAAAAGGAGAGAAAAGAAGAGAAATAGAAAAAAAGTAACCCTAACCCTAACTCCCATCCGTTCACAAAACTGAAAATCGTTGTCATTTCTATCCAAATGTTGGCAAAAAGTCCATTAAATGCTTCCGGAATTTTATAAAAATATTCCATATTTTAGCCCTGATCAAACAAGCAAACTTTATATTCCTTTCTTTTGCTTCTAACAATCTTAATCTTTAGTTCGTCAAGTTGGCTGTTGTAGGATTGAATCTCCATGCAGACTTTCTCCCATCTCAAAGATTTTTTTCAAGGTTTTAGAAACCCTCTTCATAAATCCAAAAATGTCCTTCCCCAGATCCTTTTTCATCTCTTGATTTGTCATTTATGTTTCTGCTCTGACTGTCATCTCTGTTTTATAATCCAATATTTCTCCATGAGCTAGGATTTGTATCCCTCTTCATCTTGTCTATCCATAAATTCTTCTATATTTTTGTCACATTTTTTACTTCTTCTTTATAATATTGTTCAAAAAATACATTTACTGGTGCAGAGATTGTTGCTGTCAGAATGGTTATAAGTTTCTCTCCCAGTTCTTCAAAAATCCTTTGGAATGTCTCAAGTGTACCTTTATTTCAAAATTCAAAACCCTTCATTTTGCAGATTTCACTTTTTTTTCCTGCCTGGAACTTTAGCCCCCTCTAGTGGCCTATTTCTATATCCATGAAGTCTCAGGTTTCATTGTTTTATTTTCAACTTTCAGTCAATAATTTCTTTCCTGATAGACTAAACAATTTGTATTGTCACAGAAATATTGTTTTGTTTATTCCAGTTTTTCAAAAATCTTAGCAAAAGTCCTTATATTCGAAATTCATCTGGTCCCTTAATCTGTTTAAAACTTTCTTAAATTAAATTCTTATTCGGCTTTTTGCCATTTGTTTTATATTCTTTAAATTCTTTAAACTGCTAGCTAACTTTTCTTCTATTTTGGGATGAAGTTTTACTCACCAGGTAGTTTTTCAAACTTGTTGTTTGGAAGACCTCTTTCACCTGCAAAATAATGTAATTCCAAAAGTTTTCTTCTATTTTGGGATGAAGTTTTACTCACCAGGTAGTTTTTCAAACTTGTTGTTTGGAAGACCTCTTTCACCTGCAAAATAATGTAATTCCAAAAGTTTTCTTCTATTTTGGGATGAAGTTTTACTCACCAGGTAGTTTTTCAAACTTGTTGTTTGGAAGACCTCTTTCACCTGCAAAATAATGTAATTCCAAAAGTGATTAGAAAATGAGGTGGTCAAATCCAGTGTCCTTAAAGGCTCCGCCGTAGTTGAAAGCTTGATGGCTTCCCTCATCTCCCGGTGTTCAGACCCATGTGAGACTGCTGCCCTGCAGTCTCCTCGTGAGGAGTAGCCAACCAGAGCACAAGTGGGTGATTTCCCATCCTCTCCTTAGCCGGAGGATTCTGTTGGACTGAGCTTGCCTCCAGTCTGCCATTCATCATGAAGGCAGTGTCTCTGCTGTTTCAAAGATGTCTAGTTTGTCATTTCCCTCATCCAGAAGTCCATAGAAAGCCGTTTCTGTGGGCAAGGTAAAGTCTGTCTTCACCAATAATTTTTGTTGATAGAGTGCATATCCCTACTGAATCTGGGGTTTGTTCCAATCCATTCCGTCAAAGCAGTGATCTTTTCTGCATCTTTCTAAAAAAAGACCTTGTTAAGAGTACATTTTCAGGCATCCACTTGGCCACTGATCTTCACCAGACATTACAAAATCAATTTTTTCCTCCTCAGAGGGCACCTCTTCCACCAGCTCCTAGGCAGTGGCTCACCCACAGATGTACCACTTTTCTACATCCTCATAAGCCTTCTGTGCTTGAAGTTAAAATTGCCATCCTGTTCTTAGCGTGAGTTTCTATCCTACTCAAGTAAAGGGACCACTGAGCCCATCTTGGGTAAATCATGTGAGAAAAGGGCTACTCTAACTGTTTCGGACAGGAAACTCTCCTAGGCCCCTTTCTTTCCAGGACCAGACAGCCAAATAATGAGAGAATTGCTGTCCCAGTTCAGTTCAAATCACTAGGGAGCTCTGCCTCCTCTAGAAGAAAATATAGACTGCCTCACTGGTCCCTAGAAGAGAATAGGAATTAAGGTAAGTGCAGAATTTCTGTGTCTCGTTTGTTTCTTCTTGTTCACTTGTATAACGGGTTTCCCCCAGTTTTAGCGGGAAGGCGAAGAGAAAGGAGACTTAAGGGGAGAAGTAGGTACTGCTCTGTACCTTGACCTAGATGAAAAGAAACTCGCAAGTATGTATACCTTTTCTCTTTCCTGAGTGGCAAGCTACAAAATCTTCCACCCTGCTCTTAAAGGTACAAAGAATTCTCAGGAATGGAGTCAGGCAATCTTTTGCTAGTTTTTGGAGCTGAAAGTTAGTGTAGTTGTCTGTGCTGAGGATTATTTTTAAATGACTGGGCAAGCCAAGGTCTTGTAAGTGTGTGAGGCCATAGATTGCTGAGTATTTCCAGGGGTTTTTTTCCTTTCTTTTTTTAACAATAGGGATCATTAGAAGGCATTTAACATTATTCCTAACCTTGAAAATGGCACATTAACTGCACTGTTGTTTCTTAGTAGTTGGCCACAAAATTTCAGTCATGTGGATGACTGCAGTCACAAAAAATCATTCACTTTTTACTGCCCATTCTGCTGCAGAGAAGAAAACAGAAGATGGGCATATAAACAGTGACGGGTTTACTGCCTCTAAAATGTAGTGTCTCTCTGAAATGGATTATTTCTCTCTTTTTTTCTTTGTCTAGGTACCGGCAACTGTTAAGCGAAATCCATCACTGTTACCTTAATCAGAGAGAGCATTTACTGGGGCCTAGTATTACTAGTACTGTAACAGAATTAACTAATAGAAACAACAGAGATCATTGTGCCCTGGTAAAATAATCTTTTTTGATTTTTGTTTTTATTTTCCTGTTTGTCTTTTCATTTTTTAAAAATGTCTCCTTTTGAATTTAATAGAAAAATATTTTGCTTGCATAGTGTACGTTTTTTAGCTTTCAGTGAAATTTATTTTTCTCTCTCAGTTTTATCATGTAACAAGTCTGATTTTTCTTAACAATCCCAAAACAGATAGAAATTGCCCGAGGAGCTTTGATTTTATTTGCCAATTTGCTTATAGACAGACATCTTTTTAAATTCATTGTGGTTTGAAAGGTTCCCAGAGATAGAGATATAATTAATTAATTAATATTGGCTAAAACTGAGTAACATATCTTTCTAAACATGTTTCCTAACTTGAGTTGCAATAGTTTGTTTTAGTAGCATTGGATCACAAACCAGTAAACTAATCCATAAAGTTAAGGATTGGAAAATAGGAACAGAGAAACTAGGGCCCAGCCAGCAATGTGACTTTATTGCTTATATGGTTTGGCAACACTGGGATCTACAGTAAAGCATTCCTAACTGCCAAGTCATAATCACTGGTAGATTTCAGCATTAAGGGATTGGGTTCAGGGATCATGACAATGTGTACAAAGTACTGTAAACTAACTGTGCATCTGTTTTTTACTGATTTGAGGTGCGAAGTGGCTGCGCCTTTATGGTTCATGTGTGCCAGGATGAGCATCAGCTGTATGATGAATTCTTCACAAAACCAACACCCAAACTGGAGTAGGTGACACATATTATCATTTATTGTACTAAATCCTACTGGCACTGTTTATCTGTCAAAGCTGAAAGAGAGAAGTCGTCCATTTATTCATCCACTTTTAGCTTCCTTCTATACATTGTTTAGATTAGAAACTACAAAAAGGTGCCTTTTAAATTAACAGATTGTACCTTTGCCTCTTTGCTGTGCCTCGGTGGCAGAGATTAGGGTGTGGAAAACTAACTTGTAGAAAAAATAAAATAGAATTTGGGACTGAGATATGTAATATGCTTTTTGTAAAATTCTGCAATATTCATGACCCATTGTTTTTTAGCAAGACAGGTAGTCCTCGACCTACAACCATTTGTTTAGTGACCGTTCAAAATTATGAAAGCGCTGAATAAATGATGGTTACGACCGGTCCTCAGAGTTCCGGCCGTCCCAACACTCCTGCAATCACGTGATTACAACCTGGGCTCTTGGCAACCAGTTCACACTTACAACTGGTTACTGCACCCTGTGATCATGGGACTGCCATTTGCAACCTTCCCTGCTGACTTCCCCAGAAAGTCAGTGGGGAAGCTGGCAAGGAAGGTCACAAGTTTCTGGGGTAAGTCCTTCCCCAGCCCCTCTATGCTCGTGCCACACCGGCCACTCGCACACCCCTGTGCACCTTCCCTGACCCTCACTGCGCCATCCTCGCGCACCCTCCCTGACTCATGCCTCTCTCACACCCCTTCATACCCTCGCACACCCAACCTGCACCATGCCTCATGCACCTTTGCACATCCTCCCCAAGCTGCGCTGTGCCTCTCTCACATCCCCTCACCCCTTTGCGTAACTGACCCATGCCACATGCATCCTCGCACATATGACCTGTGCCATGCCTCTCACACACCCCCTCACCCCCTCACTCACCCTTGCACACCCCCTTGCACCCTCCCTGGCCCACCCCATGCCTCTCACACACACGCTCACACCTTGCGCATTCTCACACACCCTCCCCAACCCTCATGCTTCTCACACACCTCCTTGCACACCTGACCCACCCTGCGCTTCTCACACCCCTTGCACCCTCGTACACCCTCCCAGACGTGTGACACGCCTCCCACCCCCGTGTACACCTTCCCCACCTGCACCGTGCCTCTTGTGAACCCCCTCACACCCTCCCTGACCCTTGCACACACCCCTGTGCAGCCCTTGGCTCCCTCCTCCACCCAGCAGCAGCCACCTATCTGCCTGCCAGCCAGCGTGGGACTGACTTGGCTTGTGGGAAGCTGGTAGGAAGTTGCCTCCACCTAAAGACCGTGGGATTCGGTTAACAACAGCAACCGGGACTGCAGGGATTGCTGCTGCTAAGTCACGCTTTATAACTGTATCACTTAGTGATGAAAATTCCGGTCCCAGTTGCTGTCTTAAGTCAAGGACTGCCTGTAGTGTCCAGCTGCATTCTTTTTAAGTGCAGTGTTTAGGTACCACCTTTTGTGTTTAGTATTTGACCCATTTGCTTTTATCTCCTGAACTACAACAGATTCATAGTCTGCCTACTCTTCTGCATCTTTGTCCAGAAGTAACTGTCTGTCCTGGCCTCAGGGTAGATAGTCTGCAGATAAGATTGAAGCAGCAAATGACTCACTATAGATTATTTGGATCAGGGTTAGGAAATCTTTTAATTTGAAGGATATGGTTTGGGGAGGGGAGGCAGTTGCCAGAGCCTTGAGATCCACAACAGCAAGACATAAAATGGTAATTTAGATAATAGCCTATAAGAAACATTAGCAAAAGTACTTAGACTAGCTAAATCATTTTCCATCCAAATGAAATTATCTTTAATTAATCATGGCTCAATAAATTAATCTTAAATTAGCTTATTTTCCCACATTAACATAGTCCTCAGAAATTTACATCAATTCCAAATTCATTAGCAGCTGAAATCCTGCCCCAAATTAATATTTATTCAATTGTTCAGAGTCCATTTCTTGCCCTCTCTGCTTTCTCCAAAGGAAAAAGTATTTACCGTAGTTTTCTACAGTAAGGAGTGGAGAAAGCTCAGTTGTTTGGCTGTGAGCCAGAGTTGCATCCTGACCCTCCTCCTGCAGTCTGTATGAACTCTTGAGCCCCAGCATGCCGTGGACATCTCCGTTAATGCCCCCAGGGGCCCCAGGCCCTAACTGATTTTGAACTACTTTCTTTTGATTTAATAATAACAACAATAATAAATGAAAAGCTAGCATGCTGCAAAGCAAGGTGCCAGTCTCAAGCAGAATCTTCATCTTGGCCCTCCCCTGTCCCTAAGAGGCTGCAGGCCAATGCCTTATTTGTGCTCTCCGTCCAGGAAAGCCAGAGGAGACCTGAAGTGAGAGGGAGCATCTTGGGAAGCTAGAGGAATCCTAGGAAGCCTCAAGCCTGCTTCCAGCTAGTGGATGTTCTGGGATTGGCCTGAAGGAAGAACTGAAGGTAGCAGGGAAAAAGTGAAGGTGAAAGTGACATTTCTTACTCCTGGGCCTGTACAGGGCTCTGCATCTGTTCAGGTGAAGTGGGAAGTGGTGCCTTGCTATGTTGCCTTGTGCCTTGGGAGCGATGAGATAAGGAGATGCTTCCTCCGCACGAGAGCAACAGAGACGCGCTTGTTGGTTCTCTAGACAGTGCAAACCAGGCCGGTTAGTGCAAAGCAGGTGAGATAGAGGGCCTGCCAGAGCGGGAGTGCGCTCAAGATTTCCCATTCATGACTGAGTGGCTGATGCTCCTGAGTCAAATTGGATGGAAACATCAGAGGGGCCTTTGTGATGGTGGTTCCCATACTTTGGAGCTCCCTGCCAGGGGAAGCCAGAACAGATCCATTTTGGTTATTTTTCAGTTTCGTTTAGCTGTGTGAGCGCTGCTTGTTTCCTTATGTTTGTATTTTGCTTTTATCCCCAATCAAGAGGTGCGTTAAGTTTTATTTCTTGGGGGAAACGACTGGCTATTTATTAACACTTCTGATCTTATGATGCACTCATTCTTCTCTTTTTTAGTGAACTACTGGAAAAGTTATGCTTGTCATTATATGATGTCTTCAGGCCACTAATCATCCATGTAATTCATTTGGAAACATTGTCTGAACTCTGTGGGATCCTTAAAAATGAAATGCTTGAAGATCATGTGCAAAACAATGGTAAGTGTAACAAATAAGAGTTGAAAATCAAACCATCAAAATAAGAACATACCTTTTAAACATCACGGGATAATGTGTATTCAGAATATAAATTTGAGGAAAGCAAAGAAATGTTTGCTGAGGTGAAGTGTAGAATGAGTGTGGAGATAAACAGTTGACAGGGCGGCATTTCTCCCACATGAATTTATTTTTTATCAAATGCTATCATATGTGAGACTTCAGGCATACCTAATGTAAAACATGCCCTGTGCTTCAAGCAAAATTCCTTTCCAAATTCACTCAAATAATACATCTTCATTTCTATATTCTCTCTCCAAATAGAATTTAATGGAATAGTTTTGTTAAGCTTTTGCAGCAAAAACAAAAAGTGTCTAGTGGCATCTTAAAACTAAAGAATTTATTATCATATAATCTTTATGGGTCAGGGTACACTTTATCAGATATATGAAACATAGCCCTGGGAGAGGAACATTTTATGTACTTGTTTGTTTGTTTCAAATGGAGAAGAGAGAAGGGAAAAGAGAAGGAATGATGAGGCACAAGAGAGAAGTCAAAGAAAAAAGAATTACTTTAGTACAAAAACGAGTCTTGTTTTCAGACAGTGTCAGAGTTTTGCACCAAAACCAACATATGCCTATTAACACATGACTTTATGGTCCTGAAAAGGAATATAATTATGTTGTTAAGAGGGAGAGAAAAGAGGAAATGGCTAGAAGAAAGGTGTGAGAAGTGATCAAACATAAAACAGTAGTTGTGTGAAATAAAAATATTTTTGCACTGAATAACTAGTTAACATAGTGTGATAATTAACTTCAGTTCTCGTTTGACTTATGAGAATTGGTGTTGAATCTTCTAATGAATTTTAACTTGGCTGTTTCATGTTCTTAGTAATTTCTTTTGTCAAGTACAGCCATCTTGAGCCAGGGATCAAATATCCAGAAGACTTAAAATGTTCCTCCACTGTTTTTTGAATATTGCTATTTCTGATATTTGGGTGCACCTATTTTATATAGATATTGGCCTGCTTGTCCAGTATAAAGTTTAGTAGGGCATTGCTGATATTCTTTATATCTCATTGGAAGGATGACATAATGTATTGTTCCCTTGCTTTTAGGCATGATGTTATTAAGTCTATAATAATGTTTCCAGAAAAATTAGGTGAACAGAATTGGCATGTGGTTTTGCCATAAGGGTTGGTTCCTGTGCCTGCATCACTTTGACCTGTTGTTATTTCGTAACTGCTGCTTTAGATTCAGTGGTTGTCTGTAGGCAAAGAAGGGCTGATGCGTTTGATGATGCATTTAAGAGGTTTGAGTTGGAAAGTGTGGAGGCACAGAGACCTCGCCGCACCAAGTTCATCTGCCCCCAACCAGTCCCTTTTTGTCTTTCTCCTTATTTGCAACCAATCCAGATAAAGATGCTAGCTGTCAGCCACCCCCATGGTCAGGTACTTACTCCTGTGCTTCTGGAATTCAGAAATAGATTTCTCACCCAAAAGACTCAGGCATAAAGGTATGGATGATGAGGGTCAAGGCTCATTTCTGCTCATGAAAAGCAGTGGTAAAGGAGGAAGAAGTAAGGAGGAAAAGGCTGACAGACTCAGCACATGCTTATTAAATACACTGTCCGACCCAGAGCACAGAAAGGCAACAGCGTTCTCTGTCCCAGGCCAATGAGCTGTCAGTGTGGGGTCTGTTCTTGGTGAGTTTAGTCCAACTGCTGGAACGAAGTGTTGCTTTGCATTTGATTCCTGTAGAAAAAGCAGCTTGTTTTCCCCCTCTCCTAGGAAAGTTACTCAGGTAAGGAAGGAGAAATAGCTTGTGGAATTAAAGGGTGAAGACAAATGGACGGTTGCCCGAAGTAATAATTCTGCATTTACTGCAAAGTGGAATGGAAAGAGAAAAACACTAAGCACTTAGGGAAAGTTTTTTAAATTGGTTCATTGTTTTAAAGAGAGAGATAGCACTGTAAGTATGAACAATAAACTTGCAAACCATTTGGGAAATAGTGTGCAATTTCTAAAGGTGAAGTACAAACTGTCTGTATCTCTAATTGTGCCTGAGCAAGTACCTGACATTAGTAATTCACATTAATAAGTATGTAAATTTATACAAATGAATTTGTTCCAGTTTTATTCTTGGAAATCTGGCCATCCTATGCAGAGGCCGTACTTTGTTCCCCCTTTAGAAAATGAAATATGGCAAGTAAAGAATGATCACAGTAAGAGATCATTCCTAAATTCAGTTAGATGGTTTAAGAAACTGTATGATAATGCTGTTTTCATCTGAATAGAATTACCGTAGTGTATTTTTTATGATAACTGGCAGAAAGTTGAAGAGAGTGAAGATTTTACATGTTTTCATAGTGAAACAGCTTGGTGCTTTTGCTGCTGGAGTTAAGCAGATGTTGGAAGATGTCCAAGAGCGTCTGGTCTATAGGACCCACATCTACATTCAGACAGATATTCTGGGCTACAGGCCCGCCCCAGGGGATCTTGCCTATCCTGCTAAGTTGGAAATGATGGAGGTAAGAGTTTGTACAGAAAAACCAAGTGTAATCTTGACAAAAGAATGCTGTTGACAATTATGAGCGTGGTGAACAGTGCTCACTAGCCGATCTGTTCATACTTTCAAAATAATGTCATAAGAAGAAGTCAAACATTGCTGTGCTATCACTGAGTTTGGGCATTGAGCTACGTTGAGAAGCTTGTGAGAAAATATGGAGATGGCACAAAATTGTGCCCATTTTGCCCCATCCCATGGCTGTCTATTTGAACAACTAAATCTATATAAACATACTGTCCCTTTAAGCTACCAGTGGGATACTGTTGTTTTCTATTTATATTTTTCTGGATACTCACACACACCCACACAAATATAGAATAAAATGTATCCTTTTTCATTCAGTATAGCAGCAAATAGCAGCAAAGAGTCACTTATGTGAGATGGGCAGCTATATCAATATGATAAATAAATATTAAAAATAATTCATTGCTTTGTATGTGTAGTGTGCGTATAAATATAGAATACTATATCTTACTAGATGTTTAAAATATTTTACCTATTATTTTATCCCATTTGTTCCTTTTAGTTCACCTTGCCAGTATCACAAGTATTTGGTTTAATATTTAAATTTATGAATAAATACAATACAATGGATAAATGTAAATTTTAAGAAAAATATATTGGACAGTGGTGAAAAACATTCATATGAAAGTGCAGTATCCTATCCTGACTGCTCTCCTACTCTTGTTTTGAATTGCTTGGATGCATTTGGCTGGCCATTCCTGTATTGGAGTAGGTTTTATTTACTGGTTGGTTGGTTGGTTGGTTTTATATACTACCCTAATCCCTAAGGACTCCTGGTGGTTAACAGCAAAATATCCATACTGATTCAAGAAGGGAAAAAAACATCCATGATAAAAGTACAGACAATACTGCACCTTTTTTCTTACTCAAGGCCCACCTACTTTTTTAAGGCCCCGCCCATCTTTTGAGTGCCCAACATGCAGGTCTGAATGCTCAGCTCCTGCCCCCAAACGGGAATGGGAATCTTCAGGGTCTAGAAGCAAAGTCTTACGTACAGAAATGGAAAAATCTGGGCCAGTTTGGCTTGAGAGGAGGAGATTGATATGATAGCATCCCTTCAGTGCTATAAAGATGTCACAGAGAAGATCAAGGCTTGTTCCAGAGAGAATAATGGATGTAAGTTACAGGAAGCCTGTTAGGGAAAAAAAACTTCCTAACAGTAAAGCAGTTTGAGAATGGATTATGTTAACCAGAAAAGTGGTGGGCTCCTTTTCACAGGATGTAGAATCCTGTACATTCCTTATAAGTAATATGCTTAGGAGGAAGTTGTGCTGCGTCCTCACTGTTTTTTCAGAATGCCCAGGACACGTTATTAAGAATGCTTTAGCACCTTACTGTGTTTTACTGTTGACTTTTCCTACACAATTTTGAGATTGGATTTTTTGCTTATATTCTGATTGTGATGTCTCACCCATTTCATAGGATAATATTTCCCAGAAGCTTTGTGGGATTATAAGCCCTCTTGCTTCAGATCATTTCCCTTCACTGGTCAACACCTTTCCAGGTCCCTAGTGTTTGTCCCAATAGTCCTCACATAGTTGTTGACATTCTATACCATTACATCGGTCTTGGCCCTTGTTCAACCTCACTATCTTTATGAACTTCCAGCTTTTTCCAGCCTTAGTCTGGCTTTTCTTAAGCCTGTTTCAACCATTCAGTCATTTTTTTTTAAATCATTCTTCCATTTGCATAATAAAATAGCTACTGTGTATCTAAGTTTCTTGCTGTAGGGTTATGCAGGTTGCCCCAAATTCATGACAGTAGCCCCATTAAAGTTACTCCATCATTTACACCTGCAGTGCACAAGTCCTGATTTGAACTTTGTACTTTTGGGTTTCCATCTCCACCCTTTCAGGATGGCTATATAAATAAAATACATACATGCAGTTTAAAGCTCTCCTGATCCAGTTCAATATGCTTCAGCCAAGTATTTTCTTGCCATTCTTTGTGAGATGCAGCCTATGTTGCTCTAGTAGTCCAGCTTCGAGGTAACAGGGATCATGGTCCCATACACCAAATTTGTTCCACTGACAAAATTTATATAGCCCCAGCCATTTGCCGGTAATATTGTTTCTTTTCCAGTCTTTTTCTGTGGACAAGAAAGCCAGGAGAAAACTCCCAGGACCCTTTTAGTTCCCCTCCTACAGCTTTGACCTCTGAGGTGATGCAATCAGAGATTATTCTTTGTGGTATCATTTATCCTGCCACGCATAAGCAAAAAAAGATCCCTGTCAATGAGTTGGATAACTCTTAATAGCTCTTTCATCGTATTTCTCATTTGTGCTATCAGGAGGGAGCCTGCTTCATGAGCCAATAATGCCAGATGGCACATATTCATTGTACTTGGGAAGAGAGCCAGTGTAGTGGTTCAGGTGCTGGGCTAGAAACCAGGAGATGGTGAGTTTGAGGCCTCCGATATTTGCTATACTATATCACTCTCACCCCATGTTTGTAGGGCTTGTTCTAATGATAATCTAGCGTGGCCTAGCTCACGAATGTAAATTTCACACCTTTCCTGTCTTCAGAGCCCAACTAGTTATCTGTTCTCTGACAGATCCCAACTCAAGGCTCTCACTTCAGCATTCCAAGTACCCGTTGATTTCTTCCCTTCCAGCCATATGCGTTAACATCCCCTACAGGTTATTAACTGTGTTGGACAGATGTACACCATACTGAAGCAGCATATGCAAGACTGATACCTAACTAAAATGATTTTCTGTAAATAAGATTCAGTATAATTGAAGTTGGTGGCATGCCACACCAGACTTTATTTTTGCAGAAAGATTTTTAACTCCAGAAAATCATTCTGTATTGAGTTTGATCGTTACTGGGATTTCTATTGATGGTAGAGATAGAGATGGGTTAAGATAATTCTGTTGAAAGTAAGTAGGAATAATTACAACAAATAATAAAATAAGCTGTGCAAACATATTAATGGGCTTCTTCACAAAATGGGCTTTTCCTGGCAGCAAATTGCACAAAGCTTAAAAGAGGAAGAGAAGAAGTTGCCTGTTGATGCTTCATTTTCAGCTGCAAAGCAAGAAGATCCAGACAGCTGCAGTGAGGTAAAACTTGGTATGTATGTGCACTTGTACAAAGTACTAATAATAATTATATCTGGTTTCTGCTTCTCAATATCTAGAAAGAGCTCAGGAGGGAAACAAATATAAACCATTTAATTGGTGTTACTGTGTTGATCATTCTTAAGTCTCTCTTTGAAAGATTGTACCAGTTGTTACTTTGAGCTGTTGATTTCTGGACATTGTTTGATATAACAGATTTAAAGGATAAAGACTGATTCTTCCCATGCCTTTAAAGAGCCTGGGGCTGCAGTCTAAAAGACAATCTCAATTGTTTCCAGGCTGGACTGGACTTTAGCTCCTGAAGATGCCTCCCCATGGTTAAAAGAAAGGGACCTCTGGCAAGAACACTACCCTGAGAAGGATCTTCTCCTAGCTGGTTTGCAGCAAGCAGGGTTCTAGTGTTGCTTCTGTATGACAGAGGCAGGTATCCCTTTGGTGGAAAAAGATGCATTTAACATTTAGGAATGCGCAAATGTTGGCCATTTTCATTCCCATGTAATTTGTTTATTTACTTACTTTTTTCCTTTGCTTTCATCCTTAGTTAATTTGTATTTCTAACTCTGAAAGCCACACTTTCCTGTCTGATGCTTTTTCCCAGTACATATTCACCATGCACATATTTTGGATTCCCTGCAAATTTCATGAGACAAAAGTAACATTGTTTCAGTAATAAATGCATTGCAACTTTTGCACTTGGTAACCTGCCTGAGAAGCACAGGACACACAGGGACACTGGTCCATTCTAAGTCATGAAGTTTAATTTATCAATAGCAAACTTTTTTTTTAAGTAATATTGTTGACGGGCAGCAGCACATGTTTCACTAACCCTAAGCCTCATCTCATTCTTTTTCTTCTCCTGAGCTATCTCTAGTGGGACCAGAAATGGAATCTGTCCCTCTTGATTTATCATTTATCCTTTTTCCTCCATATCTTGGAGGAATAAAAAAAGAATTGCAGCATATTGGAACAGTTGAAATAGCGTTCAGCAAAATTCTCAGTTTTGCCTTGAGCTTAGAACTCAACTCCAGAATGCTGGGTGTTTTATTCCATGCTCAGAACGCTCGAAATTGATATTCAGAGCTTGGAAAATGTGTGCAGAATGTATTATCCATTCCTGGAAAGCGTCAGCCTTCCACTCATGTAAGATCATGGGTTGACAAATCAAGTAAGAACAGCACTTAAAGAGACAGCATTTTAGCGTCCCTGCTTGAGCAAGCACAGAATGTCGCTTTTGAGCTTGGACTGTTGCAAGACTGTGCTGCAGCACTGAAAATTGTCTTGAGATAAGAATAAAACTAGAGAGCAGTGTAGTTCAGAAGCTTCCTTTTGCACTTAGCACGGCTGCCCGCTTCAAAATCAGGAGGAGTTTTGTGCATCATTACATGTTGATTTATTCTGTAGGGCCAAGGAGATGATCTCTTACAATCTAAACTGAAGGGGATTGCATATTTTTACACAGGGAACGTGTGACTCTTACTCAAAGCTGTTGGAGAACCTTAAGTTTTGTGAGTTTCTACTCTCTTTGTGATTGTTTTGAATGCTTTGTATAGGCCTAGTAGGCATTTGGTTACCTTAACAGTAATACTGTACAATAACTGGATATTTTTAAATATGAGACCACAGTTACTTTGCCCCCTTCTGTATTACAGATACATTGGAACCTTGTACTCCTAGACTCCATACCACTGTGTCCCCTGCTGATCTCCATGGGATGTGGTATCCTACTGTGAGAAGGACGCTTGTGTGCCTCTCCAAGCTTTATAGATGTATTGATGTAAGCATTTTTTCTGTCAATGTTGAGACTTCATTTTAAATTTCACGAACTTCAGAATATACACATGTCAGACAAAAATTGGCACTGAAATACTGTCTTCAGTGCATACAAAAACGAAAAGCCAAGTTTAGTTTCACATCTCCTTGCATAGGATTTTCAATGGTTAACCTTCTCTAATGCTAGAAATAGGCATAAAATCACCTCCTGGATTATATCTGATAAATTGTTAATGGTAGCAGTTTTAGAGAAATATTTAAAGCTAAAGTTTATCATTTGATATGTATATTTGCAGTTTTAAATGTGGTGACTTTTAGTGGCATAATGGTCCTATGCAACTGCAGGATTACAAATCACCTCACTTCTGAAATATGAATTCCCTCCCAGACTGTATGTTTGGCAACCCTTGGCTTTACCTTACATTTTCAGACATGACAAAATAAAAACAAAACTGAAAAAAAATGTGCTAAAAAAAAAAAAAATTCTGAACTAAGTCTTCCAGGAAGCCTCAGTTCTGGATCAGTGTAAATTAGGAAAATTAAGTAACAATGGATACATTTTAATTTTGCCCAATTTGTTAATAATTAGAATGGCATGGGCAAATGTAAAATATTAACATTATATGCAGAAAAACATAAATCTTCATTAAACTTGCCCTATTGTTTTGGATTTACTTCCTGGTAAGTTCAGGTAAATAAACCTGAGTCAATCATACTTAACTAGGCAGACTGAGGGTGCCAACTGTAATCTATGCAATATGAAATTGATATGTTCAAGCCATTATGAAAGCATGTATTATTTTTTTCCTCTCCAGGGAACGGTGTTCCAAGGATTATCCCAGGAGGCATTATCTGCCTGCATACAGTCATTGTTGGCAGCTGCAGATTCTATTGCTAAAAGCAAGGTCAGATATAAGCACTTGTTAGCGGTAGGAGGACTGTGCAAAGGGAGGTAGATTCACTGGCAACTTGATTCAAGTCATGGGGGCAACAGGGTTGGCTTTGCTGAAGTGGAGGCCACCCAGTTTGCCTCCAAGCAGTTTGTGTGGCCTCAGAACTGCTTCTGGCTGGTTCTGCAGGAGAAGGTTCCTCTCAGCCTTCTTCCCCAGCACTGGCCAGAAGGTTTCCAGGTGGGGTGGTTTCAGGACTGCTGGCAGCACACACCAGAGCTCCCCAGCCTGGAAGCATTTCAGCCATTGCTGGAGCTGAAGGCTTCTTTCAGTCTTTACTCAAGGCATGAACACTGCAGAAGAAAGCCAAGGAGGTCTTCCAGCCAAGTGAGCCCAAACAACCTCTCCCCTCCCCTCCCCTCCCCTCCCCTCTTAGAAGCATGGGCACTGTGTTGACACCTGAAGCAGTTTCAAGACCAGTCTTCAAAGAAAGGCCTGTCTTTCAAAGCAGACTCCCTTTCATGCAGCTGTACTAAATAGGGAGGGGCTTATGAGCCTAATGGCTGTTGCATTCCAGTGGAATACTAAAGATAACAACTTGCTTCTAACAATCATAAAGACGTAGGGAGAGTTTCTGGGGAGGGGGTACATGTTTCTATGACTAGGTGTGGCAAAACAAAGGATGGAGACATTGTGAAATAGGATGGAAAGAGACTGAAGAAGAAAAAGTGTATTTGAAAGATGGCCGCTTCCATTTCTGTTTTGCATACAAAAACTAATCCAGTTCAGTGAGAAAAGAACCCAACCCAGCATACTAGAGTAAGGAGTAAACATTATCTACTCCTGCGGCTTCTTATAAAAAGTGTTATGATTAAAAGAAATATTTCTTTGTAAGTAAGTCTGTAAAAAGTGGGAAATGTTTTAATGGGAAATGGAAAATCTGGGCAGATTAAAGCACAAAAGCAAGTTATTTTTTATCAGCTGACAAATCAGTGGTCTGTGTCTGTCTATCTGCCTTGACATATGTTGTTGTAATTTAGACTCAAATCGATGGACAGCTTTTTCTAATAAAGCATCTTTTGATTCTTCGTGAACAAATTGCTCCCTTCCACACTGAATTCACAATTAAGGAGATTTCACTGGATCTTAAGAAAACTAGAGGTATTGTATTGAATAGACAGTTGTAGTGGGCTGTTAATTGTAATTTGAAGGTATCTCATATACAGCAAGGATGAGAAACCTTTCAGCTGAAATTCCTCCTCCTGCTGTTTCTGGAAATCACAGGGAACATAGTGATATTCTGACATCACAGAGTGGTGTCAAACATTCTTGGAAACTTTTCAAAGGATGGGGCTCTAAGGGGTGAAATGATGCCTTACATTTTACAGAGGTTTAATGCATCCATTTTGACCGTAAAACTCACCCAAAGTGAGAAAAGTAGCCTGTTTTTGGTGAGGGGTGTTAAGGATACTTAAGCCTTTGCAAGGGTCAGGTAGTCATTTTGCCCTTTAAAATTACACACACACCCTACCCTTCTCCCTCCAATTAATGCTAGATTTCTGTGTTTTGGTAGACGTACCACACAAATAATTCAGTCATCAGAACTATAACAAGTGGTGGACCTATTCTCTGAGAGTATTTTTTTAAATTATTTAATTAAGTATGCAATTAAGCACAGCATGCATAGTTCCAAGAAGATGATCTGCAGCACAGAGTTCAACTAGTGCAAAGACAGTGTTGTGTTAACTTATATATGTGTGTGTTTTAGTAATAATGTGAATGTCATTTGGGGTAAATGTGATCATTATTTATATTCCTTCATACTATTTCAAGTGAATTTATGCAATATTAAACCAATTTTTTTCTGTGATGAAACATATTACTTGTATTGTGCTCTACAGGTAGTCCTTGGGCTACAACAGCGATTGGGACTGAGACTGCCATCGCTAAGCGATGCAGTCATAATTCCTAGCAGTCCTGGTTGCTGTCGTAACCTCAGGACCATGCGGGTTAAGTGGGAAGAGGTGGGAGTCCCAGGCAAGAAGTGCGGGGAGGGTGTGCAGGGGGTGGGGCTATGTGCAGGCTGATGAGGGCTGCAGGCAGGTGTTGGGAGTGTGGACAGGCCAGCAGAGGCTGCAGGCAGGCACCAGGGAGCATGGGCAGGCTGGCAAGGGGTGCCATGGGTGGGTAGGTGCTATGGAGCGTGGGCTGGCGGGAGGTGCTATGGAGTACAAGATCCCTTGAGGACCAGTCATAAGTACCACTTGTTCAGTGCTGTCATAACTTTGAATGGTCACTGAACAAGTGGTTGTAACTCAAGGACTACCTGTACTAAAACAAGAAAAGGAGACAGAAATCTCAAAGGAGCACGGCTGTTGACTAATAGACAGAGTAAAAAGACAGAAAAGAAGAGGTGATAACTTGTATGGAGAAGAGAGAAATAAAAACCCTGGTGGCTCTTATGACAATAATTCTGCTATTAAGCACTCCAGTGTTTATTATTTTCTTCAGTTCCTCTTTTTTATTACTGTGTTTATAGCTTCCTCTGTCTTCAGCCTTATTTTTTGCCAACTGGTGTAGTCAAACTGACAAAATTAAAATATCAGGTTTTCTTCAAGTCCTGCACCTTACAATCCTACTTGTGATAGAAATCAAAATAAATTCAGTTAATAAATGTAAAGCTTATCTGCATAAAGTATAATTCTATGAGTGGAACCCCAGTACCCAGCTGTGGGTTATGAAGGCAGGTTCTCTGTTCCTGGAGTAAGTTTTGTGTCAGAGTTTAGCAGAGATGTTTGTGGTGGACTCCAAGAATTCCCCACAGAGTACCTGAGTACCCAAGTACCTTCAGCCCATTTCTAAGGGTTGGCACATTTGTTGTACTCTATAGGATTATCCTAGGGGGAGGAAAAACTACAATTGGAGTTTTTTCATTGTTTGGTGTTCAACGCTTCATTATAATCACCTGACTCTGTAGAGAGTGCTCACTGACATGTATTGTGTAATTTTCCAGCTGTTTGAGAATCTAGATTTTAATTTCAAATCTATTACAGGTAGACCATTTGTTCAGCAACTGTTCGAATGACAGCACTGAACGAATGGTACTTAGGCCTGGTTCCTGAAGTTATGGCTGTTGCAGTGCCCCCATAGTCACTTAATAAAAAATCAGGCACTTGGCAGCCCAACCAAATTTACGACTGCAGGAGGCACTTCAGTTTCCCCCACCCGCCTATCTCCCCCACATCTCTGCCCTTTTCGCCATCCTGCACTCTGCCTCCCCTGCCACCCCCAGCTGACCTCTGCCGTTTTCTTCCTCCTGTTGCTGACGAGGCGTGCCTGGCCTGGCCCTTCGCAAGGCAGCTGCTGGCTGCAGGAGGCTTCCTTCCTGACGCTGTGCATGGCCTTCTCAGGAAGAAAGCCTCATGTGGCCAGCAGCTGGCTCGTGAAGGGCCAGGCTGGGCACGTCTCATCAGCACCAGGAGGAAGAAGACGGCGAAGGGCAGCAGGGACGGCAGAGCACAGGACAGTGGGGGCGCAGGTAGATTGCAGGGCAGCAGGGCAGCTGCAGCTGGGGCTTTGCACTGTGGCAACTAGGGCTTCATGCCACAGTGCTGGGGCAAGTGCAGCTGGGGTTTTGCGTCATGGTGCTGGGGCAGTTCCAGCTGGGGCTTGGTCCTGGGGCGGCTGGGGCTTCGTGGGGTAGCTGGGGCTTCACGCCATGGCACTGGGGTAGCTGGCTGCAGCTGGGGGCTTGAGACGGCACTCCTCAGCGATGGTAGCAGTGGCAGCGGTTCAGGCTGAAGTAGAGGCCAGGGTGCAGCACTGGTGGGCTAAGACTGCTGAAGGCCCTGGGCCTCTATTTCAGCCCCAGCACCACCACCAAGGAGTGGCACTGTGCAGGGCACCCAGAGATGGTGGGGGTAGATAGGTGGGTGGGGGGAGTTGAAGAGAGGCAGTCCCTTACTTTGGAAGAACTGAGACTCAGGGCTGGGAGGGATGAAGCCAGGAATGGCTTGGATCAGAGTGGGTCCTCAACTAATGACCAGGTGGGATTCATTTAACAACAGCAACAGGAACTGCAGAACTGCCATCGCTAAGCGGAGAGGTCATGTGATGTCTCACTTAACAACCGCATTGCTTAGTGACAGACTAACTGGTTCCAGTTGTGGTCGTTAAACAAGGACCACCTGTAAGAGTATGAGAAGTCTTACGTTCAAGAAGGCTCAGAGAGTGTTTTTGTGATCATCATTTTCTTATTTGTAGTGAAATGTTATAAAAGTATGAGCTTGTAGCAAATGTAATTTCTCGTTGGGTATAGATAGGTAGCTGGGTAGATAATGAGTTGTACACTGTATGTTTTGAGCACAAAATGCATTTCAGTAAAAACTTATTAATAGGCTGGATATTACTAAGAACACAGCAAAACTGCATTCTGCAATGCATGGAAAGCCTACCTACCATAATATCTATCTGATCTTCAAAATTCACATGAGAATTCTTAGAAGTTCCATTAAATTTAAATGCATAAAATAAATATTCAAACATTCCTTAAAATAATTCTCTTTTCACAGATGCTGCATTTAAAATCCTGAATCCTATGACTGTTCCACAGTTCTTTAGACTAAGTAGCAACAATGCAATTATACAGTTCTTATTGGAGGTAAAGAATATTTGTTAAAATGTTAACATGCATAAGAAAATAATCTTTGAAGTGTGGCAAATTCAGAAGAGAAAAAGAGACAAATTGCCTTTCTCTTCCAGGGTACTCCAGAAATAAGAGAACATTATATTGACTCTAAGAAGGATGTGGATCGGCATTTGAAACTTGCTTGTGAGCAGTTCATTCAGCAGCAAACTAGGCAGCTTATAGAACCTCTGGAGGAATTCTTGTCCAAGGTATTAAAATACTAGACATCTACTACTAGTATCTTCAGTTGCCAATTTGACATATTTGGACTTGAAATTTTATTTTGTTTTGTATTTTGCTTTCTAAGAAAGAGAGCAACACAAACACTGCAAGGCAATCTTGTGAACCAAAACCATTAGAAATCCCACTGAGAGGCCATGTTACACAAGTCAGCCCGTATGTTCTTAGTAAAAACAGTGTGAAATATTTGACTATGTAAAATCTTACATCATGTACAGAAACATTAACCTTGAAATTACACAGTCACTTAATGGAAACTGGGCAATTGCAATTAGACCTGTGCTGGGTCTGATAATAAACAATGTATATAATCATCTACTATATGAAAGAAGTGTTGTTTCAATATCATAAAATGCCAAAGTGATAAACACATAGAAGAATATCAGCCTAAGTGAAGTCCATGTCACATGCAGTCAGAAATTTTTTGATAAGTAGATCTTATTCCAGCATTTTTAATCATGACTAGTTTTTGATAAAAGTGGAGTAATTCTGGTAATACCTACATTATGGAGAAAATTAAATGAATTGGCCAAATCCTTTTAAAATGTGAGAAATGAAGCAAGGACACAGTAAAATGGAATGTTTTGCAAAGTATTTTAATTGTCCATATAAAATGAAATGTTTGAGCTCCTCAAAGGAACTTAAAACAGTCACCAGCTCTTCCTTGTCTACCTCCCTTTTCCTTAAGTGATTTTTTTTTTTTTTTGGTCTTTGGCCATGAAGAAGAGAGAATCAAGTGTTTGGTCTTAGTTTAGCCTTGTAATTTAATGTTTTGCCAACAAATGGAAGCTATAAAATCTCAGTTGTTGACTTTTATAGGAAAAATAACAATATAGAATCCTCTGGATTTCAGGCAGTGCTTTCTTCTATGGTGTCCTGAGATGATGGAAAATAAGTCCCTGCTATTGTGCCTAAAGTTGCACTTGTTAATGACTGCAGATGTAATGGCATTAACTGCAGACTTTAATCCGGCTTTAATATCCAGATTTCTGAAATAAGTATCACTGAGTATTAGTTTAATATCTAGCAAGTCATAACTCAGGGTGCCCGTGTCACCTCTGCCAGGAAGTAGCTTTGACACAGAACTGTTGTCCTCTTGGTTTCAACCTCCTGCTTTGCAATATGTGGATACTGTTATTGGCCTCCATTGCAGATAAGTGATAGGAATGGAAGAGGGGACATAAAATAGCTTCAGTATAAATGGGCAGACTCACTGCTGGATTCCAGTTACAGTATGCCAGTACATACAAAGCATTTTGAACAAACTGAAATGCTATCTGTGAAGTATTATATACATATTTAACACATATTCTCTCTTCTTCTCATCTCATTACTTTAGGTTTCGGCTTTGACAGCAGTAGCTTCTCAGAAGGGTCCTAAATACAATCTCTCGCAGCAGCCTTGGGCACAACCAGGTAGTTTTTTCCAACAGTGAAAAATGTTTGACGAGGGTTTTTTGAATATATCATTCTTGACAAACAGCTAAATATGGGTTGAATAACCATACAGAGGTGTGCTTTTGACATCTCTATGCCAGTCTGAGGGGTTGTAGAATCTTACAGGATTTATTTTTAAGAAATTAAATCTCTTAAAAAATCAAATGCATCAAAAGTAGGATGAGAGAGACCCTAGTCTGCTCCATCTGTTGAAAAAGCCAGTGCCCAGATCTGATTCTGTTCCGCACTGATCAAGCTGTATCTAAAGCATTGGGTCCATTCTGGGCTCCTTTGTGAATTTTAAGTCTGTTTGGTTCTACTCAGCAACCACCTCACAAGGTCCTGGGAGGGATGGTGGAAGATAAGTGTAATAAACACATTCTTAGATTTTTTTTTTCCTGCACTTTACTGATTATTTTACAGTGATTTGCCTAAGTAACTATATAGTAAGTGAAAAGAAAAGCATAGACACAAAGAGAGACATTGCCTTGCACTCTGTTTCATAAGAAATTCTCCATTATGTTTTATTTCCAGCAAAGATCAGTGACGTGGTATCATCAACATACAAGAGAATAAAAACAAAACTGCCATCAACCTTACAGAGTATGTCACTATATTTGTCCAATAAGGATACCGAATTCATCTTGTTCAAGCCCGTTAGGGTAAGTCTTTGGTAACATCAAATGTTATTTGCACATGCACATTCGCCTTTAGAGCTAGTTTACCTGAAATTCCTGTTTTGCATTGTCATGTTCAGCATCATTATTTTACCACAATTGTCCCTGCCATATTTCTCCTGGTTCCTTCTTCTCTCCCTAGCCTACACTGTAGGCCTTAAATAATTGGTCTGAACTGCCCCTTGGATTCCTGGGGCTCCATGTGCCTATGAAAAAATTGATTGGTGTGACGTAAGTGTTGTAAGACTGAGTGGAAGTCCATGCAGCCCTCGGAGCAGAGTGTTCGTGTTCATGCTGCTTTAGGATAACGAAGTCACAAGTATTTTTTTCTCTTTTCCTCTAAGAACAATATCCAGCAAGTGTTTCAAAAGCTGCATGCTGTATTAAAAGAAGAATTTAGTAATGAAGATCTCCAGATCATAGCTTGTCCATCAATGGAACAGGTATCTAATATAGCTTCTTCTTTTTTTTAAGCACATGGTAAAACTATTTGCCCTTTATTTAGGGAGTGAAATCTTAAGTACAAAAGTGGAGAGCATTTATTGATTTCACAAGACAGTAAGAGATGAAGCTGGATTTAAACAGGTATTTTAAATTGTCCAGCACAAGCAAGTATCTTGCTGAGACAAACCAGGTTCCTATTGAATTTCTCAGGGAACGGGTTGCAAGAGAGGTGGCACTCCGCAGCCCATCTTTGGTATTTAGATGTGCACTGGGGAGCTCCGTACCTTTTCCCAGTTTGGAGATTTAGTTCTTTCAGGTTTTGTGCCTGACAATCTTGTGTCTCATATCCTCTTTGAAGGAAATCTCTCTCTACCTTTCTGAGAACTTGACTGTCTCTCACAGATAGCAGGGAAAAGTTCATTCTCCCTTGTTTTTGTCCCTCCTATCCTTCAGAGAGGTTGTGCTCAAATTAGGTTTATGTGGAGTATTAACATTTTATAGTGAATTGTATTCTTTTCACTGTCCAGTTCTTTTTTAAATATATACCTACCTTCCTGGAGTAGAAAGTCCTCAGCAGTCCTCACTGTATGGCTTAGAAGTTTTGCAACATGCAATCACCAGAAATTCTTTTAGGACTGTTTCCCCACCAGTGGCTTATATTCTCTTTGTAGTAGCATCATTCATCTGTCACTGAAGTGAGATCAAGCCTTTTGTCACAAAAGCGATTGGATGATTCTGGAAAGGAGTGTAAGTCACTAGTAGAGAAATTAGCTAGAAGACCTCATTTTTTCCATTTGATAAGGCTAAAAAGTCAGTTATTCCCTCTTTATAAGAAATAGTTTTTGCTTCTCCTATATTTGGAACAGAACCTCTATCACTTACTGTGATTTTTGTTTCCCGGTTTGGTGCAAAAAGCTTTCCAAGGATCTTATGTGAGCTGAGCCTAACATGTTTGGGGGCTTTTTCTCTGGCTGACCTGTTCCTACTCCTGAACAGAGGGAACTGGGAGAGCTAACATGCTTTTAGTCATGGTTCCCTGCCTTCCTCAGGAACCTCTGCCCTCCCTTCTCAAGACCACGGTCTTCTTCATGCTTTGATTTGCTGCAGACATCGCATGGGTCCATCTGTTGTCTCCACCCTTCCTTCTCCCCTGGCCAGCTCTCCCTCAGACTTGGCCATTCCATTCTTCTCAGCCTTTGCTACCCCTGCTGCCTCCTTGTTCTCTCAGTGTGTGTGTTTGTGTGTGCTGAAGAAGGAGGAGTGTAAGAGTTGTGCAAGGAGAGGATAAAACAAAGCTACTTGTCTGGAGAGAAATAACAGAGAGGAAGGGAATTGTTAGATTTGTGGGGAAGGGAAAGGCAAGCAGGGCAGCATTGCAGGGGGGATCAAAAAAAACAAGATGAAGGACAGGATAAAAGTTTATGGGGAGAGTACAGAAAGGATGGACAGGGAGAACAAATGCTGGAACAGATCCAGGTATTCATTTCTAATTTCTGAAGAGACTGCAAATGGACATCCTCCTGGCAATTTATAAATCTTCAAGAAAGTCATTGGTGTCTCTAAAAAAATACATTGTCTTTCAGGTAAATCTCCTTTTGTCAATAACAAAGTAATAATCTGGTAGCCGAACTGCACAGTGCTGCTTCATACTGACCAGCCACCAGCTTAGTATGCCTTTTGAATTGCTTTTACCTTTGTTCATCCAACATCACATCAGTTGAAGAAGGTGAACAGTATTGTTGTTACAAATTCAGAAGCCTACCTAAAGATTCAGAAAAAGCATCTCTTCTGGCGGCACCTACCATGATGAAAATAACCCTAACCATTGAACTGCTCCACTCTATTTTGTATCCAGATAATATCTGCTTTTTCAGATTTCTGAAAAGAATGTGGAATATCCAGATTTGGAGAATAGATGCCTTTTATTCGTAATCTGTACATCAGGACCACTTTGAAGTGTATGTACAAGCCTTCCCACAAAAGTTTAGTAATATTCCCCGATATTTAGCACTATTACACTGTTCATCTATGTAAACAAATCATCAGGCTTTGTAGTGTGTAAGTGGTGGTGTGAATTTGTGGAAGATACCAGATAATCAGATTATCACATAGCATTTAATGTAATCTGTTTCAAGACATCAGTGGTTTTTGAAAACCTTTCTGTTGATGGTTTCTCTAAATGGTTTCTAAAAACATTCTCCTATTTTTATACGTTGCAAATAAATTGCATTGCCTTAAAATTATGTCTACAAGGTATACAGAAAATGCAGTGGTAATAAATCCCCCGTTTAATAGGTTATGACTGAATTAACTGACTAACCACTGACTAGGTGGAAATTTTGATATGGAAAGATTGGGGGAATGGGGAGTGTAGTTGAAGTGTAAAACTACAAGATTGGTGCAAAAATAGAAGCAACCTTTCTTTATTTTTTCCATAATTAAGTCTTTACCTGAATTACTGCAGTGTGTTTTCAACTGTGAAGTTATGAAAAGACATGACTTTTCTACACATTGTGCAAGTGATAAGTTGTGCATTTCTCCATGGCATGCAGAAGTCTTGATATTTGCATTTTAAGTCAACTATATATTGTATTATAAACAAGATAAAACTTTTATATTGTTCAGGAACCCAGATATCTTTTTAAATGGGGTGTATATATATCTTTGTGTTTAAAGTAATATTGATATCTAGAAAATAGTTCAAATATTAAGACATAGTTTTGCAGAATCCAGCCTTATTTTGTCTATATATTGCTCTGTCTAATGTTAACACTCATACCGTTTTAAAAATCTTATGTTTCAAATGTTGAGGGAGATAAAATTAATTTTTAAAAACTTTAAAATAACTGAAATCAATGTTGTTTGTAAGCATTAGAAATTACATCAGATTTTACTATAATCTAACTATTGGTATCCTAGTTAAGTGAAACAGACATATGTAAAGTAATAGGCTGTGAATTTTGAATAGAGATTTTCAATAAAATAGAATGTGAATAAGTGTATTGTATCTTAATGAAATGTTTCATGGAAGTTGGAACTGGGTAATTTAAATTCCTTAGTTTCTAAAACAGAGTATCTTCTATTACAAACGTAGACATTATTTTATTACACAGTGACTTTCCAAATGGCAGAATTGTATAAACTGTACAAGTATTTAGCTAAATAAACAATGTATATAATTTGTCTAATCCTTCACTATGATCTTGTTCTCATTAAAATAAATGCTTTCTTATTTTGGGAGGGTTTTATTTTGTCCAGTATTCTTCAGGGAAACCTACCTCATTAAGGCCTTTTAGATCTTAATTGCAGATGCAGAAATATTCTTCACAGCATAGCTGTGTCAGAACTCCTTTTTAGGTTCTTTTCTTTTGAAAAGCATATATTATAGGCTTAACTAGTGTAAAGAAAAAATCAAGGTCTGTATTGAAAACAAATTACATGGTTATTTTATGCACATGAAACTAAAGTAATTAAAAACAAGCCACAGAAGATGTACAAGAGGTTGCCAGAACATCTAAGAAATGCTGCCTTTTAAATATATTTAGGTGGTAAATATCTTATATTTGGACCCTTCAAGAAGGGGATAAATTCAAACAAATCTGCAGACAGGATCTGTCTTATGTATGTATGTATGCATGCATGCATGCATGCATGCATGCATGTATGTGCAATTGCCTGAACTCATCCCTGAATCAATCCACCAACCTTCACCTCACTGTTCCAAAGACTGGAATAAATTAAGAGGCTAGCAATTGTTCCAAAAGCAAATAAATTTGATCTCCTGATCCTGAATTGCTCCAGAGAGGGAGACCACCACCAAGAGTTTGCCTGTTGAAGAGAATGGGAGTGAGCACAACAGGTTACAGGTTACTTTCTAGTATCCTCAACACTGCTACCAAATGTAATCTCTTTTTCAATTGACAACCACCCTGATAGTGCCATCTCCCCTAATTAAATTGGCAATAAATTATTTTATCCATCTTCAGAAGATGTACACCCCAGCCAACCATCTGGAAAAGAGCAGGAGAACAAGGTGATCTAATAGGGAAAGGGAACCCTTGTTCCTCTTTATTTAGTTCAGATCCAGCCTCGCAATTCCACCATTTTATTTGCATTGGGCACTCAGCTGCAGCTGCAGTCAACAACTTCCAAACACCAACATCCTATATCCAGGATGTCTTGGTTAAAACTTCACCAAGGTTTGTAGTTTGAGGTCCCTCCAATTTACAGTATTAGAGGGAAAAGACTACATATGTCCCTTTTAAGACAAAATGAAGGAACAAGAGGCCACCTTCAATATATATTAAAAAATATGAAATATTCACATGAAATATTTGTGCTGCTTGATAAGACATTTTTAAGTAGGGTACCACAACCATACTGATCTGAGGTTAGGTACAATTTAACTTTTTCATGTCTTAAAATTTCTTTTAATTTCTGTTGTCAAGAATTTATTAGAACCAGCATTGGTAGTACAGTTACAAAAAGCATTAGGACTAAATGTAATGATGGAACTAGAACTTAACACTAAATCATAGAACTAGAACTTAATACTAAAAATAGAAATAGACCTAATACAATTACTACCAGTATTGGTACCAGAACTGGAGTCCTAGAAAATTACTAGAAAAAAGTGTTGCTATTAGAATCAATCCTTGACGTAAACTAACACTGCAAGTTAGTTCAAATCTAGCTCCCCTTGAAGACAGAAATGAAGGGTCTAATACAGTGCTTTTCAAACTTGTCAACTTTAAGGTGTGTGGACTTCAACTCCCAGAATTCCCCTTAAAGTTGCCAGTGTTGAAAAACACTGATCTAATAGGAGGCTGTTTGCTTTTTTTTAATAAAGTCTACAATCCTCCCTAACCAAAATAAAGGCAAAAGCAAAAAGAGCAGGCAAGAATGTTTTCCCCAAGTCTTGAGAATGCTTTTGGTAGTGAGAACTCTTGTAAGCAATGAATGAAGCAGCCTGTCTGCATCCTTGAATCTTCTTGGAACGCCAAGAGGGATGAAAAAAGATTTTTACAACGGGGAAAAATGCCCTAAAAGAAGTTTGCAAACAATTTTGGGGCACCACCTGGAATGGCTGGGAATGGAGCACAGTTTGTAAGTCACCAGAAAGGGGTTGGCAAGGGTCAATCTGGGAGGAAGAAAGGATCAAGCCACTCCACCCCAGCCTCTGAACAACTGGCAAGAGAGCAGAATGTGCCTGCTTCGAAGCTCAAGCCCTGCCATGGCAACCAATTTACTTAGTATTAAGGCTCTGGATTGCTATGGAAACCTCACAACAGCTCCTGAAATTGACCTGGATGTGCAAGGAGAAAAGCAAATAAAAGCTGCAGGACTCAACCTAAAAAAAAGCAAAAAAGAAAAAGAAAAAATATAGAGCTGCGGAAACTCACCTGACTCTGCAAAGGCAACCAATTAAAAAACCCTCCAAACTGACCTGACTCTGCGAAAGCAATCTAGAGCTGCAGAAATGTTTTAACACAAACCCAAACGGCATCTCCTAAAACTGACGTAGGAACTTGGAAAGTAATTGTACATGCGAAGGTTCCAGAAGCTGCAGCAACTCCCAAATGTGAGATACGCAGAGTCCTTGTTCAGCAACCGCAATTGGGACTGGCAACTCAGTCGTAAACCAAGTGTTTTCTAAGTGAAATTGCGACTCTGCTTTTGATCTGACTTCAGCTTTCCTTTGCTTTACAGACCTGCGAAGGTCATAAATGCGAAGATTGGTCGTAAAGTTATTTTTCATCACCATCGTTACTGCGAATGGTCACTGTATGAGGCGGTCACTAAGTGAGGACTACCTGTATCTTGTTACTGGCCTGGATGTACAACCTAACAGCAACTTAGAGCTGCAAAATTTGACTTGCCACAGCAAGAAAGAAATGTGACATTGCGAAAGCACAAGGAAGCCAGACGGAGACTGATGCAGAGCTGAACAAGAACAATTTTTAAGATCCAAAGTTCTCAAGTCCACCCATGACCAATGCATGAAATGTATGGTTAACGTTTAGTGTTAAAGGAACTCCTGCAGAGGTAAATCAATGGGTTGAAGCAAAAGTCCCCACAATGTCTATAAAATAGACTGAGATAGAACAGAAAAAAATCCTGCTTCCCTCCATCTAAGAGATCCTTAGAGATGCTCCATCTAAGAGATGCAAAAATATATAGGGAGAAAGATCCAAGGAGACAACTTCAACTGATTCCTTTCTAGCAGACTTTTTGCCCAGTTAAGACCTTCATCTGGGGGAAAAGTTCCCAGCAATTAAGAAATTCTCTCTCTCTTGACCAAAGTGTTTAAATGTATCAGAATATTTTTACTGCCCAGCTTTTCCCGATAAAACTAGAGCCCTTTTAACTAATACAGACTACAGTATTTTTGCTAAAGTGTTGACTTATGAAAGCTGGCTGACACAGCAATTTTAAAACCTCAAACTAATACTGTAACAAGCTGGTGGATGATCCATCCTTGGTTGAGAAGGATCTGCATTTGGCTGAGGGTGATGGTGATGGTGATGGAGTAGCAGGCAGCCCAGGAGAAGCATCCTTTCTTCTTGCTCCCGCAACTGCAGCAACAGCTGACCAGAGGCAGAGATCCCACTGGCCTCATCCTGGAGGCCCAGTAAGATTCTGGGACAGTGGTTTTCAGATCAATATTCATTCCCCCACTCTTGAGGACCCTGAAGTCAAATGCTCTGCTGAAGTCAAGGTTCATTCTTTCCACCTCATTGCCAAATGCAACTAAACTAACCACTCTGTCAAAAAAGAGAGAGAGAGAGAGACAAGACCGGTTTGGGCTGATTTGGTTTGGCCTTGATAAAACCAGGTTGGCTCATAAACTGAACACTTAAACTTGTCCACAGATTTGCCTGTTATCAACATCAAGCTAATGGTCTCCAGTTAGCTGGGTTCTCTGTTTCCCCCTTTTTGAGACAGAAACACTATTTGCCCTTCTCTGAGTCCCTGCCATAACCCCCCGTCCTCCAAAGTTGGTCAAAGATCACAGAAAGGATCTCCAAGATTCATCAGCTCCTTCTCATCCTGATAAGTGAACAAAAATGCAAGTGTCCAAGGTACTTTTGACTCAGTGACATTAAGCAATAGGAAGTACAGCCATTAAGTTCCATATTGCTTGATACTCAGGTTTGATAACACAATATCAAATTTAGAGATAGAATTCAGAAACTGTAGTCTCCACCTCATTATGTTCTAAGGTAACATTTTGTTGAACTGTCAGTTGGGTAACAAAACAGAAGCCACATCAGACTTATTCCATAATTCTTCATTAGAGATTGTAAATTATAGTGGATGTAGCTTGATGTGGAAATTGATAATAAGGAGCTAAGATTAAAATACTAATTTCTCTGTATTTTATTTGCAACAAAATCATTCATTGATTGCTGAGACTGCAGCTGTACAGTCTTGTGAACAGCAACAGCCTTAACAGCCATAAAAACACTTCCCTTCCCATGGGAACCCTAAATAAACATGTCGCCTTAGAGCCAGCCATCAAGAGAGGTTTCGGACAGTGTTGATTTTGTTATTGTTTCCTATGGTTTGCCTTTTCCTTTGGTATCTTCCTTCATATCATTTTCTTCTGCACTGAGTGTATGTAGCTTCTCGGAAGACAAGTAAAAGCTGGCTCCAGGGTTGTATCTTCTTGCTTGCATTCTTGAGAGCTGGTGACAGTATCCCTGGACTACTAAAATTCATGTTATGCAGTTCACACTGAGGGAAGTGTACTTTAGTAACTCAGCTGAAACATGAGAATTTGAAATAGTTTGCTGTAATTCCTCCCTCAGAGATTATGCCCATTTGGAATGGCTTCTGCAATGGTTTAGTGGCATTACTATCTATTTATTACTTTTCTATACTTTCCCTATCCCCAGGGTTACAACATATGGCCAAACAATAAAAACACATTCAGTAAAAACCACTGTTCTAATAAAACCCACCTACAAATAAATATACACAGAAACTGAAACAGAAACAATCAGGCTGACCAGACTTCCTTAATTCTCAAATACCCAGCAGAATAAAATGGTTTCGCCAACTTCCTGAAACCCAGTGGGGAAAGATCCAATTTCACCTTGGGGGACCCAGAGAGCTAAGGCCAGAACTGAGAAATCTGCCACCAGGCCTGGTCTTCTAAGATGCTCCAAGTGCTTTGCCAGGTATCCCATGTTCTTATTTTCTGGGAATCTGCTTTA